CAAGAACAAAAGAATAAAAATATAAAACAATAAAATTCTCACGACGTTTTCGACTGCAAGAACAATTTGAAAAAAGTTCTGAATGCAACGCGCAGCAGGGAGCCCGATGCGACGTCGCGCGTTTAAATCCAGCTCGACAAACGCGCTCCGGTCACTTTGCTTGCTCCGTTGTGAGATTATTTTGTCGTTTATTTTCATCATCGCCGCCGCCGCCGCCGCCGCCGTCGCCATCACCTGCTGTCGTTGTCTATCGCGAGTGCGGCCGTTGTTACCATTCTCTATCATCATCGCCAACTAAACGCAAACTGGAGCGGAGGAAAGTTTGGTCGGGGGAGGACGGGACACCCTCCTCACCCTCGTCACCCTCCTCACCCTCTTCACCCTCCTCCTCGCCGTGACCTCGGCGTCGAACACCGAACGGAACGGAAGGGAAATTTGCGATCCCGAGTGTCATCATCCCCCCAGACCACGTTCCCTTCTCAACGTCATGAGAAGAATTGCAGCCTCTCACCCCCGCCCCCCGTAGATCACTCCCATCGCGGCCACCTACCCCTTTGTCTTCCCAGTGCTATGTTGGCCCATTGCCTTTCAGGCCCCCCCCCCTTCCTCCTCCTCCAACTAGGACCAGGTCTACCCCCCCCCCCCCCCCACTATCCCTCTCTAGCCAATCGATCATCCGTCTCGGATCGCTGAATCAACACGCCGCCGATGACCCAACTCTCGTTCTTTGGCTCTTTCGGCGAAGTCGCGTGGACGGGCTCAGAGGAAACAAAAAACACCACGACGCTTCGTAGAGGTTAGGAGCACACCCCCCTTGAAGAGTGTGCTCATAATCGCAGCTCGTTGCCTGTACAAAAGACACCTGGGAGCCAGAAATCTTTCCGATTGAGAAGGGGGTCAAATACTTATTTCCCTCATTAAAATGCAAATCGATTTATAACATTTTTGACCTGCGTTTTTCTGGATTTTTTGTTGTTATTCTGTCTCTCGCTGTTCAAATAAACCTACCATTAAAATGACAGACTGATCATTTCTTTGTCAGTGGGCAAACGTACAAAATCAGCAGGGGATCAAATACTTTTTTCCCTCACTGTAACTACCTCGCCTGGTACGCAGGTCGTGGGTTCCAACCCGACCATGACGATGCCTGCTGCTGCTGTATATTTGCAGTGTGTGTGTCTCTCTCTCATCATCATCACGGCGGCTAGATGTTGACTACCTCGCCTGGTGTACAGGAGGTCGTGGGTTCCACCACCACCATCATCACGGTGGCTAGGAGATGTTGACTGCCTCGCCTGGAGTACAGGAGGTCGTGGGTTCCACCATCATCACGGTGGCTAGATGTTGACTACCTCGCCTGGTGTACAGGAGGTCGTGGGTTCCACCATCATCATCACGGTGGCTAGGAGATGTTGACTACCTCACCTGGTGTACAGGAGGTCGTGGGTTCCACCACCACCATCACGGTGGCTATGAGATGTTGACTACCTCGCCTGGTGTACAGGAGGTCGTGGGTTCCACCACCATGATCATCACAGTGGCTAGGAGATGTTGACTACCTCGCCTGGTACACAGGAGGTCGTCGGTTCCATCATCACCACGGTGGCTAGATGTTGACTACCTTGCCTGGTGTACAGGAGGTCGTGGGTTCCACCACCACCATCATCAGGGTGGCTAGATGTTGACTACCTCGCCTGGTGTACAGGAGGTCGTGGGTTCCACCACCACCATCATCATCACGGTGGCTAGGAGATGTTGACTACCTCGCCTGGTGTACAGGAGGTCGTGGGTTCCGTTCCGACCCTGCTGGTTTGCGAGTGACGCTGTGCCATGGATTGCGAGGGACAAGTTTTCTCTCGATTCTTTTTTATTTCTGTCTTGTACAGCGTTAGGAGATTTGCATGAATGACGCTTTATTAAAAAAACATTATTATAAACTCCACTCACTAACTCTGTAGAACAGGGGGAAGATCAGACAAACTCCACTCACTCACTGTGTAGAACGGAGGGAGATCACACAAACTCCACACAGTCTGTAGAACAGGGGGAGATCACACAAACTCCACTCAGTCACTCTGTAGAACAGGAGGAGATCACACAAACTCCACTCACTCTGTAGAACAGGGGGAGATCACACAAACTCCACTCACTCTGTAGAACAGGGGGAGATCACACAAACTCCACTCACTCACTTTGTAGAACAGGGGGAGACCACACAAACTCCACTCACTCACTTTGTAGAACAGGGGGAGATCATACAAACCCCACTCACTCACTCTGTAGAACAGGAGATCACACAAACTCCACTCACTCTGTAGAACAGGGGTAGATCACACAAACTCCACTCACTCTGTAGAACAGGGGGAGATCACACAAACTCCACTCACTCACTTTGTAGAACAGGGGGAGATCACACAAACTCCACTCACTCACTTTGTAGAACAGGGGGAGATCATACAAACCCCACTCACTCTGTAGAACAGGGGAAGATCACACAAACTCCACTCTGTAGACCAGGGGGAGATCACACAAACTCCACTCACTCGCTGTGTAGAACAGGAGGAGATCACACAAACTCCACTCACTGTAGAACAGGTGGAGATCACACAAACTCCACTCAATCACTCTATAGAACAGGGGGAGATTACATAAACTCCACTCACTCTGTAGAACAGGGGGAGATCACACAAACTCCACTCACTCTGTAGAACAGGGGCAGATCAAACAAACTCTACTCACTCTGTAGAACAGGGGGAGATCACACAAACTCCACTCACTCACTCTGTAGAACAGGGGGAGATCACACAAACTCCACTCACTAACTGTAGAACAGGGGGAGATCACACAAACTCCACTCACTCACTGTGTAGAACAGGGGGAGATCACACAAACTCCACTCACTCACTGTGTAGAACAGGGGGAGATCACAAACTCCACTCACTCTGTAGGACAGGGGGGGATCACACAAACTCCACTCACTCACTCTGTAGAACAGGGGGAGATGACACAAACTCCACTCACGCACTCTGTAGAACAGGGGGGTATCACACAAACTCCAATCACTCTGTAGAACAGGGGAGATCACACAAACTCCACTCACTCACTCTGTAGAACAGGGGGAGATCACACAAACTCCACTCACTCACTCTGTAGAACAGGGGGAGATTACATAAACTCCACTCACTCTGTAGAACAGGGGGAGATCACACAAACTCCACTCACTCTGTAGAACAGGGGCAGATCAAACAAACTCTACTCACTCTGTAGAACAGGGGGAGATCACACAAACTCCACTCACTCACTGTGTAGAACAGGGGGAGATCACAAACTCCACTCACTCTGTAGAACAGGGGGAGATCACACAAACTCCACTCTGTAGACCAGGGGGAGATCACACAAACTCCACTCACTCGCTGTGTAGAACAGGAGGAGATCACACAAACTCCACTCACTGTAGAACAGGTGGAGATCACACAAACTCCACTCAATCACTCTATAGAACAGGGGGAGATTACATAAACTCCACTCACTCTGTAGAACAGGGGGAGATCACACAAACTCCACTCACTCTGTAGAACAGGGGCAGATCAAACAAACTCTACTCACTCTGTAGAACAGGGGGAGATCACACAAACTCCACTCACTCACTGTGTAGAACAGGGGGAGATCACAAACTCCACTCACTCTGTAGGACAGGGGGGGATCACACAAACTCCACTCACTCACTCTGTAGACCAGGGGGAGATCACACAAACTCCACTCACTCACTGTGTAGAACAGGGGGAAATCACACAAACTCCACTCACTCTGCAGAACAGGGGGAGAACACACAAACTCCACTCACTCTGTAGAACAGGGGAGACCACACAAACTCCACTCACTCACTCTGTAGAACAGGGGGAGATCACACAAACTCCACTCACGCACTCTGTAGAACAGGGGGGTATCACACAAACTCCAATCACTCTGTAGAACAGGGGAGATCACACAAACTCCACTCACTCACTCTGTAGAACAGGGGGAGATAACACAAACTCCACTCACTCACTCTGTAGAACAGGGGGAGATCACACAAACTCCACTCACTCTGTAGAACAGGGGGATATCACACAAACTCCAATCACTCTGTAGAACAGGGGAGATCACACAAACTCCACTCACTCTGTAGAACAGGGGGAGATCACACAAACTCCACTCACTCACTCTGTAGACCAGGGGGAGATCACACAAACTCCACTCACTCACTGTGTAGAACAGGGGGAAATCACACAAACTCCACTCACTCACTCTGTAGAACAGGGGGAGATCACACAAACTCCACTCACTCTGTAGAACAGGGGGAGACCACACAAACTCCACTCACTCTGTAGAACAGGGGAGACCACACAAACTCCACTCACTCACTCTGTAGAACAGGGGAGATCACACAAACTCCACTCACTCTGTAGAACAGGGGGAGATCACACAAACTCCACTCACTCTGTAGAACAGGGGGAGATCACACAAACTCCACTCACTCACTCTGTAGAACAGGGGGAGATCACACAAACTCCACTCACTCACTCTGTATGACAGGGAGAGATCACACAAACTCCACTCACTCTGTAGAACAGGGGGAGATCACACAAACTCCACTCACTCACTCTGTAGACCAGGGGGAGATCACACAAACTCCACTCACTCACTGTGTAGAACAGGGGGAGATCACACAAACTCCACTCACTCACTCTGTAGACCAGGGGGAGATCACACAAACTCCACTCACACACTTTGTAGAACAGGGGGAGATCACACAAACTCCACTCACTGTGTAGAACATGCAGAGATCACACAAACTCCTCTCACTCTGTAGAACATGCAGAGATCACACAAACTCCACTCACTCTGTAGACCAGGGGGAGTTCACACAAACTCCACTCACTCTGTAGAACAGGGGGAGATCACACAAACTCCACTCACTCTGTAGAACAGGGGGAGATCACACAAACTCCACTCACTCTGTAGAGCATGCAGAGATCACACAAACTCCTCTCACTCTGTAGACCAGGGGGAGATCACACAAACTCCACTCACTCTGTAGACCAGGGGGAGTTCACACAAACTCCTCTCGTGCTCACTCTCAAACTCCCGGGCAATCGGCCCGCGCCGATCCCTTCGACAGCGACCGTCCCTCCTCTCCGGCCTGCGTCATCTTCCTCCTCCTCCTACTCCTCCTCCTCCTCCTCTTCTTCCGACGTTGCCCGTCATCGCTCTCCTCCTCGTCCTCGTCGTCGTCCTCCTCGTCGTCGTCGCCGCCGCCGCCGCCGTGATCGTCGCCGGCGCCGCCCGCGCCTGCCGGCGGCGCCTTCCGGCACTGGGCGCATCCTCGCCGCGCGGGCCTGGCGCGTCTCCCCCTGCCGGGCCTCGCCCTGGCGACGCCGACGCCGCCCGCGGCTCCCGTCGGCCGCTCCGCCACTTCGTCTGCCGCGCGGGAGGTGAAGAGAACGATCAGGAAGATAATAAAGACAATACAATAAAGACAATGCAATAAAGACAATGCAATGAGACAATGCAATAAGACAATACAATAAGACAATGCAATGAGACAATGCTATAAGACAATGCAATAAGGCAATGCAATAAGACAATGCAATAAGACAATGCAATGAGACAATGCTATGATACAATACAATAAGACAATGCTATAAGACAATGCAATAAGACAATGCAATAAGACAATGCAATAAGACAATGCACTAATACAATGCAATAAGACAATGCAATAAGACAATGCAATGAGACAATGCTATGAGACAATCCAATAAGACAATGCAATAAGACAATGCAATGAGACAATGCAATAAGACACTACAATAAGACCATGCAATGAGACAATGCAATAAGACAATGCAATAAGACAATGCTATGAGACAATACAATAAGCCAATGCTATAAGACAATGCAATAAGACAATGCAATAAGACAATGCAATGAGACAATGCAATAAGACACTACAATAAGACAATGCTATAAGACAATACAATAAGACAATGCAATGAGACAATGCAATGTATCAATGAAATAAGACAATGCAATAAGACAATACAATAAGACAATACAATAAGACAATGCTATAAGACAATACAATGAGACAATGCAATGAGACAATGCAATGAGACAATGCAATACGACAATGCAATGAGACAATGCACTAATACAATGCTATAAGACAATACAATGAGACAATGCAATGAGACAATGCAATAAGGCAATACAATGAGACAATGCAATAAGACAATGCAATGAGACAATGCAATGAGACAATGCAATAAGACAATGCAATGAGACAATGCAATAAGACAATGCAATGAGACAATGCAATGAGACAATGCAATGAGACAATACAATAAAGACAATGCAATGAGACAATGCAATGAGACAATGCAATGAGACAATGCAATGAGACAATACAATAAACACAATGCAATGAGACAATGCAATGAGACAATGCAATGAGACAATGCAATGAGACAATACAATAAGACAATGCTATAAGACAATACAATAAAGACAATGCAATGAGACAATGCAATAAGACAATGCCATAAGACAATGCAATGAGACAATGCAATGAGACAATGCAATAAGACAATGCAATAAGACAATGCAATGAGACAATGGTATGAGACAATACAATAAGACAATGCTATAAGACAATGCAATAAGACAATACAATAAGACAATGCAATGAGACAATGCAATGAGACAATGCAATGAGACAATGCAATAAGACAATGCAATGAGACAATGCAATGAGACAATGCAATAAGACAATGCAATGAGACAATGCAATAAGACAATGCAATGAGACTATGCAATGAGACAATGCAATAAGACAATGCAATGCGACAATGCAATGAGACAATGCAATGAGACAATGCAATGAGACAATGCTATAAGACAATGCAATAAGACAATTCTATAAGACAATGCTATAAGACAATGCAATGAGACAATGCAATAAGACAATGCAATAAGACAATGCAATGAGATAATGCAATGAGACAATGCAATAAGACAATGCAATGAGACAATGCTATAAGACAATACAATGAGACAATGCAATGAGACAATGCAATGAGACAATGCAATAAGACAATGCAATAAGACAATGCTATAAGACAATGCAATGAGACAATGCAATGAGACAATGCAATGAGACAATGCAATGAGACAATGCAATGAAACAATGCAGTGAGACAATGCAATAAGACAATGCAATAAAAAATGAAATAAGACAATGCAATGAGACAATGCAATAAGGCAATACAATGAGACAATGCAATAAGACAATGCAATGAGACAATGCAATGAGACAATGCAATAAGACAATGCAATGAGACAATGCAATAAGACAATGCAATGAGACAATGCAATGAGACAATACAATAAAGACAATGCAATGAGACAATGCAATGAGACAATGCAATGAGACAATGCAATGAGACAATACAATAAGACAATGCAATGAGACAATGCAATGAGACAATGCAATGAGACAATGCAATGAGACAATACAATAAGACAATGCTATAAGACAATACAATAAAGACAATGCAATGAGACAATGCAATAGACAATGCAATAAGACAATGCAATAAGACAATGCATAAGACAATGCAATAAGACAATGCAATGAGACAATGCAATAAGACAATGCATAAGACAATGCAATGAGACAATGGTATGAGACAATACAATAAGACAATGCTATAAGACAATGCAATAAGACAATACAATAAGACAATGCAATGAGACAATGCAATGAGACAATGCAATGAGACAATGCAATAAGACAATGCAATGAGACAATGCAATGAGACAATGCAATAAGACAATGCAATGAGACAATGCAATAAGACAATGCAATGAGACAATGCAATGAGACAATGCAATAAGACAATGCAATGAGACAATGCAATGAGACAATGCAATGAGACAATGCAATGAGACAATGCTATAAGACAATGCAATAAGACAATTCTATAAGACAATGCTATAAGACAATGCAATGAGACAATGCAATAAGACAATGCAATAAGACAATGCAATGAGATAATGCAATGAGACAATGCAATAAGACAATGCAATGAGACAATGCTATAAGACAATACAATGAGACAATGCAATGAGACAATGCAATGAGACAATGCAATAAGACAATGCAATAAGACAATGCTATAAGACAATGCAATGAGACAATGCAATGAGACAATGCAATGAGACAATGCAATGAGACAATGCAATGAACAATGCAATGAGACAATGCAATAAGACAATGCAATAAAAAATGAAATAAGACAATGCAATGAGACAATGCAATAAGGCAATACAATGAGACAATGCAATAAGACAATGCAATGAGACAATGCAATGAGACAATGCAATAAGACAATGCAATGAGACAATGCAATAAGACAATGCAATAAGACAATGCAATAAGACAATACAATAAGACAATGCAATGAGACAATGCAATGAGACAATGCAATGAGACAATGCAATAAGACAATGCAATGAGACAATGCAATGAGACAATGCAATGAGACAATGCAATGAGACAATGCAATAAGACAATGCTATAAGACAATACAATAAAGACAATGCAATGAGACAATGCAATAAGACAATGCCATAAGACAATGCAATAAGACAATGCAATGAGACAATGCAATAAGACAATGCAATAAGACAATGCAATGAGACAATGCTATGAGACAATACAATAAGACAATGCTATAAGACAATGCAATAAGACAATACAATAAGACAATGCAATGAGACAATGCAATGAGACAATGCAATAAGACAATGCAATAAGACAATGCAATGAGACAATGCAATAAGACAATGCAATGAGACAATGCAATGAGACAATGCAATAAGACAATGCAATGAGACAATGCAATAAGACAATGCAATGAGACAATGCAATGAGACAATGCAATAAGACAATGCAATGCGACAATGCAATGAGACAATGCAATGAGACAATGCAATGAGACAATGCTATAAGACAATGCAATAAGACAATTCTATAAGACAATGCTATAAGACAATGCAATGAGACAATGCAATAAGACAATGCAATAAGACAATGCAATGAGATAATGCAATGAGACAATGCAATGAGACAATGCAATAAGACAATGCAATGAGACAATGCTATAAGACAATACAATGAGACAATGCAATGAGACAATGCAATGAGACAATGCAATAAGACAATGCAATAAGACAATGCTATAGACAATGCAATGAGACAATGCAATGAGACAATGCAATGAGACAATGCAATGAGACGAATGCAATGAGACAATGCAATGAGTACCATGCAATGAAACATGCAGATGAGACAATGCAATAAGACAATGCAATAAAAAATGAAATAAGACAATGCAATGAGACAATGCAATGAGACAATGCAATAAGACAATGCAATGAGACAATGCAATGAGACCAAAATGCAATTATACAATGCAATAAGACAATGCAAATGAGACAATGCAATGAGAACAATGCATGAGACAATGCAAGAAGACAATGCAATGAGACAATGCTATAAGACAATACAATGAGACAATGCAATGAGACAATGCAATGAGACAATGCAATAAGACAATGCAATAAGACAATGCAATAAGACAATACAATAAGACAATGCAATGAGACAATGCAATGAGACAATGCAATAAGACAATGCAATAAGACAATGCAATGAGACAATGCAATGAGACAATGCAATGAGACAATGCAAGAAGACAATGCAATGAGACAATGCTATAAGACAATACAATGAGACAATGCAATGAGACAATGCAATGAGACAATGCAATAAAACAATACAATACAACAATGCAATGAGACAATGCAATAAGACAATACAATAAGACACTACAATAAGACAATGCAATGAGACAATGCAATAAGACAATGCTATAAGACAACGCAATAAGGCAATGCTATAAGACAATGCAATAAGACAATGCTATAAGACAATACAATAAGACAATACAATAAGGACAATACAATAAAGACAATGCAATGAGACAATGCAATAAGACAATGCAATGAGACAATGCAATGAGACAATGCAATTAGACAATGCAATGAGACCATGCAATGAAACAATGCAATAAGACAATACAATAAAAATGCAATAAGACAATGTAATGAGACAATGCAATGAGACAATGCAATAAGACAATGCAATGAGACAATGCAATAAGACAATGCAATGAGACAATGCAATGAGACAATGCAATAAGACAATGCTATGAGACAATGCAATGAGACAATGCAATGAGACAATGCAATAAGACAATGCAATAAGACAATGCAATGAGATAATGCAATGAGACAATGCAATGAGACAATGCAATAAGACAATGCAATAAGACAATGCAATGAGATAATGCAAT